AAAATAGTATATTACATTTGATATATGATGAAGCAATTTATTATCATATGAAAGATTACAAGAATGAAGAGTAAATGATATATTATATTCTAAAATAATGACATACTAACAAGTTAATATATAGTATACTAATTACTATCTTTTCTGATTACAGACTTTTTGGACTTGTCACATAGCTTGATATTTAATTTCTTGACAGACTTGAACAAGTTGCTAATTATTAAGCAATATTTCAAGTACTTGAGCTTATTTAAGTAGTAGTTAGAATTGTGATCTATCTATAGTATATATTCAGAAAGAGAATATTTCTATTAGTAATATCCTCATAACAAATAATAATCTGCTTAAAGTATGGTATAACTTTTACCAATAGATAGGATACTTGAAATTATATAAGCTTGATATTTATATGATAAATTTTGATCTGTAAATACATAGCTTGATGATATTCACTTCTTTATTTTCTATAATAGGAAAAAGAAAATATGTTATATCTGTGACATGATTTTTATCAGATCTTCAAAGCAAGTTAGGATTTCTTCAAGCTCTTCAGATGATATCTTCAATTAATTTAATACATGAGGAGTATTATTTTACTTTTGATGAGGCTTTGGAAATATTCAGAGTGAAATTCATAAAGAAAAATATAACCAGATAGATGACTAATTTAAAGAATCTAAAGTAGAATATCAAAGTGATACAAGTAGAGTATGACTAACTTAACTCATTAATTTCAGAATTTACTAGAGATCAGTCAGTAAGCAAAAGTTTACAGTCTGTTAAGAATTATCAAGAAGCTCTTTGGAAATTAATTATTAAATTCAAAGTAGAATTTAACAGCTTACAGTTAGAATTATATCTCTTATTTGCAGAAGCTACGTAATTAATAGATGTTGATTTTCAACAAATATTTACTTGTTATGAATTAGAAATCAAAAGAATGACCACTATTATTGAGTAAGATATTTATCATACTATTCTCTAAGTGAAAACAGAATAAGATAAATAGGATCTGACATTTATAAAGCTGATAAAGAAGAAGAAGACTGACCACATATTAGAAATAAGAGTAGAAGTAAGAGATAGCAGTTTTGTGCAAGCTCCAAAACTAATTAATATAGAAGTTGAAGAAATCAATTCAGAATCAATTAATATGAAAGTTAAAAAAATTAATAAAAAAAACTTGCAATCAATATTATTATCTGAAATCAGTCTGTCTTCTGGATCTATACTTCAAATATCATGTCTAATAAAATACAAATTTACAATGATTAAAGAATAATATCTGAAATAGCTTGAAGTATACAAAAACTCTACTATATTATTCAGAGAAGTTATCAATAAGCTGATGGAAAAATTATCACAATATATTGATTATTAGATATCAAAGTAAGTTTGAGATCAATAATATAATTGATATAAGAGATCAAAAAAGATATATATAAATATACTTCAGGATGAATCTGAATTAAATATTATATTAGAATCTATATAATCTAAAGCAAATTATTATTATAACTTCTATATTATCTTCTTTTTATTCAGTTAAATCTTGAAGTATCAACTAAGAATGATAATTAGCATTTGTCTAAATGGATAAGAAATTTTAAATCTTGCATATATTTTGACTCATATTTGATCAAATAGATACATTTTAATAATCATAAAAAAAATTTTTGTTAATTAAAAGAAATATTATTATCTATATTATACTATAAAATAGCTTTTCCTAATTTTCTTTCACATGTTTATAATGTACTAACTTCTTGAGATAAAATTTTGTAGATGATTATTGTTTGGGCACATCTAGTAAATCACTTTTTATGACAAGAATTTGTAAACTGAAGAATAATCTAGCAAAAATAGATAAAATAAATACTAATTTTGAAGATATTTTACTTTACAGAGAGATATTAGTTTTTTGTGATCTTTACATTACTCTGTTCATAAAAATCTTAACAATAATTTTATTTTAAGAAACTTTATATATTTTGACTAAGACTTTGGACAAAAATTCACATATATGATTAATTAATTTTTTAAATTAATCAATATAATATGTTTAATTTTTATGTGTGATAAATTATGTGATTGCTATTAAAATTCTTACGTGAAAATAGTTATATCTCATTAAATTTCATTTTGCTATTTAACTATTAATATAGAAATATTTCTTTACATGTAAGTAATGATTAGTGATAAAAGTTACAACTAGTTACAACTAGCCACAACTCTGTTATAATTCTCTAATTGGCTACCACAACTCTATCACAACTCTCTGATTGGCTGTCACAAGCTGCAACTAGTTGAGGAGCCATCTTTAGTAATGATAATAAATGAGATAAGATAAATTTTGATATAATTAGAAAGTATTTTGCTAGTTATTCTGATATTTTAGTTTGGCTCTTCTTTTTATGATGTACAAAGAGTGAAAAGAAGTATTAGATATTTTATGTATTTTTAAATTGATTTATATTATTAGATCTTGTATTTTTTTTAATAATTATTTTATAATAAATTATTTATATATAGTAACAATCTATAATTAAAACAAATCTTATCTTTATATGATACATTCAAGAATTATAAAACTACATGCAATTTTCTCTTAAAAAATCACTCTTTAAATTTTACCACATAATGTGTTATGGAAAAAGAATTAACAAAAAGTCAAAAAGATAGAATTATTATTGCAAAAAACTTGGTCACACACATACCAAAGTCTCTAAGATTGTAGATTATTCTGTAATTCACATGTTAAAAGTACATGAGCTTAAAAAATTATCTAAAAATAATCAAATCATCTACCAATTCATAACAAATCTGCATACAATTATCTCAAGATTTCAGTAATCCAAAATAAAAATTCTTATTATCAAACTCTTTCTCAGATCATACAAAGTATTAAAATTATTATATAAATATCTGAATTATTCTATAAATAAATAAATATCAGAATCTTTTATAAATAAATAAAATTAAATAAAATAAATCATCCAATATTTCTTTCACCTTCTGTAGATGATCTGATCATTTTTTAGATAATTTTTTAAGCTTATATGCTTCTAACACATGAATTATAGAAGAATGAAAATAACCTACAATCTTAGAGACTTTGATATGTGTGTGATCAAGTTTTTTTGCAATAATAATTTTATCTTTCTGACTTTCTGTTAATTCTTTTTTCATGATATATTATACGATAAAATTTAAAGGATAATTTTTTGAGAGGAAATTATATATAATTTTATAACTCTTGGATATATCATATGAAAATAAGATTTGTTTTGATTATAGATTATCACTATATATAAATAATTTATTATAAAATAATTGTCAAAAAAAATATAAGATCTAATGATATAAATCAATTTAAAATGCATGAAATATTTAATACTTCTTTCCACTTCCTATAAGTTTTCTGTTATCTTAACTAAATCAGATAATGAAAATTTCAAACTATCAATAAATTGAAGTTGATTAATTGAGAAAGTAATATACTACTCAGAATTATTTGTTATGAAAATTATTTTTTCATCTATTATTTTTGCTATTTCTTGCATAAGATGATGAAAATTATATCTACTTTTATTACAAAATAATACTGAAATTTTTATTATTTCTAGATTAATTCATAATTTAAGATTATAACTACTATATAATGCTTTACGAAACTTTTTTATAATATAATCATGATCTATTACACTATTTTTTTTATTATCTGATAATTATGTTTTATAATATATATATTTTTTATACACATCATGTATTTTCTTTTATTCATTATTTGACTTATCTTGAATAATTAGCCTTTTCCCATGACATTTCCTATGTGAAGCACTCAAATATTTTTTGATTTCTGGATTGAATACCCAAATTTTATTATATCCTGATTCATATAATTTTTCTTCACATATCCAAAATTTACTTGCTATTTGATATTTTTATCATAATTTTGATATAATTTTTTCATATAAAAGTAGAATGCAAAGCTTATCTAAAATAATATCTAAATCTTCTTGAAGATTTTTTATTAAATCTTTTATTATATTTTCTGCTTCTTGATTAATTACTGATTTTTGCATTATTCCATCTGAATAATAAATAATATATTCATATGAAATTGCTTTTTGCTTTACTATTTTTATAGTATTTTCTTTTTTATCTTTTTTTTCTACTTCAATTTCTTTTGCTTCAAGATCCATAGTAATTAAATAAGATTTCATTAATATATTTTTGAAATATTTAGGCTTTATATAATTCTTATCTTCTTCTGGAAGAATTAAACATTGTGATACTTTACTTAGTCCTGGACATATTAATATATGATTTTCTAATAAATCTAATCTGCTATATAGAAATCATAAATATTTTTAGCAAAAGTATTTCTTTCCATAATGATTAGTTTATTTATGCATTAATTATGTAAAATCAGTTATAAATATGTAATGTATTTTTAATCCTTCTAATATATTATTTATATTTTTTTAATTATTTAAATTCTCTTCATCATCTGCTAAATATAATAAATTTATCATATATTTAACTTGATAATTTCTTTTAAAGATATGTAATAGATCTATATCTACTTTTATTTTTCTGAACACTTCTTTATACACTGGCCTAAATATATTTATAGTATAGTTTGAATTATTTTCCTTGAATTTATCAATATCATGTAGTGTTGCTGGAAAATTTATATCTTCAAAATTATTTATATTTACATTTTATCTAAGTTTTCGAATTTTATTAAGATGTGATAGCTTTCTATTAGCTTTTATGACTTCTTCTCTTGTATAATATGCACTTATACACTATTTAAAATACTCACTATCATCATTATTTTGCAGATTAATTAATTCTAGTTGAGATTTATTCAAAGCTTCTGGTAAAGGTAAATAGTTACTATTACGTAGTGATCTGAATATACTTATCTCAAGAAATACTTCTTCTGCTTGAATAAATGACCATCCTGATTCTTATATTACTTCATTCTCAATCTAATCTATAATTTCATTATATTCTTTTTCTATAATTATATTAATTTGATCTTTTCTAATAATTTCTATAGTTTCATGCTTGAATAAAAAAGTTTTATATATAGGTTTTGGCATTTCCAGTTTAATTTTTTTCATATATGCATATAACATGATTCTTACCTTTAATTTATCCTTTAAAGCTAACTGTCTTTTGTAAATATTAATAATCTTTTCTTTGATTAATTCAAAGAAATCTAGTATTTTATTTTCTACATAATATCCTTTTGATATAAATGCATAGTAATCATATACCTTACCTTCATTAAATTTTCCAGCTTCTGCTATTCTATTAATATATAGATTTTTAATTTTTTTAAAATAAATATCTGGTTTTTCTTTAGCAGTATCATATTCTAAATTGCTTGATTCATTATTATTATCTTGCATTTTCAACTTTGACTTCATTTTTTCTATTATATTAAACTATTCTTCTCATGTCTTGGATACTAATTTCAATTTAATTTTTTTATTATTTTTTATTTCTGATTTTGATAACTATTATATTAACTCATCTATTGTTAAAAATTATTTCCTTTTCTACTTTCTATAAGCTTGAGTTCTAGGATCTGATCCAGCTTTGAGATCTATTAATAGAAGATTATCCATTAAAAAATCTATTACTGGTAGGCTTTTTAGTTGGATTGGCTGGTGTATTAGGTCTTCAGAAGTCAGTACTGGATTTTCTATTAGAGTTTGGTTTTGTTCTGGAATCAGATTTTCACTAGATGAGATATTTTTTATTGAAGCTGAATTTCCTATTGAAACTTTATTTTGCATTAAATGCATGATTGGTAAATATTGATTTTTACAAAGATTTTTATTTAAATTCATTTATTTATTAAGATCTTGGGTTTTATCAGTTTTTATTTCTTGATTATAATAAGTATTTTAGTTATAGTAATATGTATTCTGTATTTTTTATTAATATAATCAGATCTTTTATTTAAATTAAAATAATTAATTCAGTTATATAAATTTATCAAAATATATAGTGAATATACATATGAATATATACATAATTCTGGAGAAGTCTGTAAATATGTTATGAAAGATATCACAAATATTCAAAAGCAAAAAAATGTATTTTATATAAGATTTGTAGTAAGCCAACTTCTTCTGCATCTGGTACTTGTAAAAAATATACTAAAAGATATTATGTTATACAATTTTATACTTAATAACTTTAGATTAGAAATCAATAAAAGTTAATATAAAGTAAATCAAAAAAATATCAAATGTATACCTAGATACAAAGTATTATTTCTTTGAAATAAAATTTATCTATATTTTTTACTATCTATTTTAACTGCATTCTAGAATAATGAACATAAGCAATTATATTTTGATAATATTTTTAATAGCATAATCAGATATCATATATATAGCATGCAAGTATGACTCTATAGATATCCATTATTTTCTTATATTTTTTTTCTTATACTATTAATTAGAGTTTATTATAGCATTTTCTAACATACAATAGACTTTGACCAGGAGTTGAAATAGTTAGTATATCATATTTAATAATAGTATTATTCTTTCACCTTTCTAATAACTATATTTCTCGGATATTATATAAGTGTTTTCACAAATTTCATTAGAATTATGAGGGAATAGACAAGTATATTCACCAGATATTTTTCATTATATTAAAATATAAATCTTTAGATAATCACATATTTAAAATAATGACATAATTGTAATCAGATTATCAAACTTGCAATAATATGATCTGATAATATATATATAGCATAACTAGATATAAGATTTATGTAATTATTTTTTTCTGTTATCAAAATAGCTATAACTATTAGCATATATTATGTTACATGTAGGTGATAACAAAAATTTTGCCATAATCATCATTCAAGTGATATATATAAAAATATATCTACTGTGTACTTAAAAATATTAACTAAACAGATATTTATGCTCTGTTATATTCTACATCTGTTTTATATTCATCTAGATACAAAGTGTCATTTCTTTGAAATAAAAACTTATGTTCACAGTAATAGAAAGCTAATTAGTGATCAAATATGATAACTATACTTCCCTCTAATAACACACTACATTTTATTTGTTTATGATCAGAATGGATTTTAGAGACTCAAACTAGATAAGAAAGCAATATGCTAACTAGATACTCTACTTTGCTTCACATTTTCAAATACTTTACACCCTCATATAGTTAGCAATAATAGATTTCAGAGACTTAAACTAGACAAGAAAGATATATTTCAAAGCAAAAAAAGATCAAATAGCTATATAATATATTTTTATATAACAAAAATGTATCATAAAAAGCAAAATGCTCATTATTGAAATTAAGTTTTTGAAGACTCCAGCTAGACAAGAAAATAAGTCATAGTTCTTGAACTTTTTAAGTATTAATTTAATCAGAATGTTATATAAAAAAATATACTAAATGTAAATAAATCATTATTAATTTTAATGTTTTAATTATTGAATAGAGAGAATGTACTTACAGTAATAGAAAACTAATTAGTAATCAAATAGGATATCAAAAAATATATCAAACATGAATAAATCATTATCATTATTGATTTTGATATTATAATAAGTTTTAATCAATAAGTAGAGCAGATGTACTTACAGTAATAGAAAGCTAAATAGTGATCAAAGAGGATATTAAAAAATATATAAAATATAAAATATTCATCATTAATTTTAAATTTTAATTATTGATACAATGATACATCATTTTTATATTGAAATTATATCTAAGCTAATCAAATTAGATATCAAAAAAAAGGAATAATTTGTCATTAATTTTGATGTCATAATAAGTTTTAATCATTGAATATAATAATATATTATTTTTTATATTTTTTTTCTATCAAAATGTATCTAAAAATCTTACTAATATATTATTTTATTAAATATTATTATTTAATAGTATAAATTTATTAAATATTATTATTTAATAGTATAGATTATTAAATATCATTATTTAATAATATAAATTTATTAAATCAACTTATTTTATTAAATATAGTATATTATAAAAAAAATCATAATTTTTTACATATAACAAAAATATATCTAGTATGATCTGTTTATAAGTAATTTGTGATATGTAAAATGCAAAATAAAGTTGATAATTAAAATTAAAGCTTAACAAATTTATAAATACTATTATTATATGTATGCTTGAGATAATTAATAGTAAAATATTCATTTCCAAGTAAAAAACTTAATGTCAAGCTTTATTACAATTATGAAATAATAGTATATGAAATACAAAAGAAATTTATGCTCAAATAGATATCTCACTCACAACTAAAGATGGCTTCTCAACTAGTTATAACTTGTAATAGTTAATTAGAGAATTACAACAGAGTTATGATAGCCAATTAGAGAATTATAACAAGTTGTAACTAGTTGTAGCTTTTATCATTACTTATAATAATTTATAATAACATTACTTATAATAATTTATAATAACATAAAAAAGTTAAAAAAAATTAGAATAATAAAATATGTAAAAGAGAATGGTCAGTCTAGAAAAATTAATATGCATGTATCATGGATACTTAGACAATTTATATGCAGAAATTCTTTATTTTCTACTAGAATTCTTATAATAAAATTATCTAAAATAAATATTAATATGTTCTATATTATTATTGTACAGTATATAGCTAATTATAATTATATAAAAAGTCTCTCAAAGACTATTCTAATATTAACTGTTACCTATAAATAAAAACAAATAGAATAGACTAATACTTACCTAAATAATGATTAGAGTTAGATCTTATTTTTGAATAAGACAGCTTTCTAGCTTTTCCAAAATATAATAAAATATTAATATAAGAATACTTACCAAATTCATGCTATATCAAAAGACAGAATAAAAGTCTTCTTAAGATAGATTTTGTATTGAAGGTAAAATTAGCTTATTTTGCTTTTAGCAAATAATGAATATCAAATTTTATATCAAGATTATTAGAAGATATATTTTAGAAATTATAGGAATACTTGCAGATTATTAGTAATTCCAGTAGGAAAATAATCTAAAATATATTAGCTAAATTATTAAAGATTACTTAAAAAAAAATATTTCTGAAATTCTAAATTAGCCATCTAACAGTTCAGATTTAAATTCAATCAGAAAACTTGTAGGTAATTGTAAAGAGAAATATTAAAAAGAAAATATCAAAAAATATTAGTGATTTAGAATAATTTATAATTAAAGAGTGGAGTAGTATCTCAAATAGTATTCTAATTAATCTTGTAGAATTAATATTCTAATATTGTTAGCTTGTGATTGAGAGAAATGAAGAATATATTTTTTTATTATTTATTATAATAAAATTTATAAATTTTTAACTTTTAAATAAGTTATTTTTCATATCTTTTGAAATATTAATTGTGATCCAGTCCTATTTTTTTCATTAAAATTTTTTTTGTATTGTATCATTATTTAATAATTTTTATTATTAAAATGAAAATCTATTTAATAAATATATTACTTTAAATATAATTCTAATAATTCTTAACTAATTGATTAATATTTTCATCTTTACTCTCTGTAAATAAGTTATTTGTTGCATAAAAATTATATATTTCTTGTTGAATAGCATTATCACTTATATTATCATCATCTTTATCATCTAATATATTTTTTTTATTAAGTTTTTCATCTTTAATAATATTTATTAAGTCTTCACATATTAGATTTATATTTTTTTGATATATTTTCTAAAAGAAAATTAATATTAATCACAAAAGATTATATATAATATAGAGTAAAAGCTTACTTTATATTTATCTATATAATATTATAATAAAGTTTTACTTATTTTAATTAATAAATAGTTTGAATTTAGCATAATATTATATATATTTATAATATATATACATAAGTCAATAAATAGTAATTTTTCATAAAGAAATGAAAAGATGATATGAATAATATAATTAATATTACTGGTATCATTATTTTTAAGTTGAAATAACTTATTATAATATTCAACTACTTCTAATAATACTTTTCATTCAGAAAGTTTCTTGAAATTTTTTTGATTATTAATCAGAGATAAATTATTTATTCCAAAGATATGAAAAATTACTTTTTTAACTATTATCATATTAAAATCACTTATATCTTTATTCTTTTTATAATCTTATTGAGATATAAAAATTATCAATAAAATTTAATAAAACTATAATTATAATAATTATCACTAAGTGATATTATTCAGAAAAAGTATTAGTCTATTTATGTTTTCTGATTTCTTATAAATAGTCAGAATAATTATAGTTGAGTCAGAATTTAAGTTTCTTCTTATAATCATTAAATTTTAACCATAGTTTAGTTAAAAAAAAACTTAAACAAATATTGCTATAATTATCTTATAATTATTTAAATTTTGAAT